AATGTAATCACATAACAAATCTCCCTAGATCTCAGTTTACTCACTTGCTGGAAAACTTTTTAAAAAGAGAAATTAAAATATTTCTAGAGAGTAGTTTCTAACTAAAATGTCATGATTCTATGATTCTCATTAATTTTGGTATTTTTAAATTAGGGAATTGATTTGCAGCATAATGCATAACAGCCTATTTCATCATTCAATATCCTGAAAAAGGAAAGCTCTCCCAACTTCTCACAAGACATATAAAGAATGCATTACCTATCTAGGTTAGTGCCACCAGAAGAGTAGTCCTTGGATCCAGATCTGCTACCATAAAATGATGATGACTGCAAAGGTAAAAGCCCTATAAAACAAATGAACAAAGAAAAATTTAATACATAAACCAACCATTCGAGTTCACTTTATAATAAATTTACACACTGAACCTGTTTATATTTAATTCTTTTTTGCTCTTCTTTTCTTCAAAGTAAAATATATGCATGTAAAGGGTTCAAGTATTACAGGAAAAGTTACAACAGCAAAGCAACATTCCCCTGCCCTGAAACTCTAGGAGTTCCACTTTGAGTCTTCAGCACTTTTTTTTCTTTTTGGTGGTACTGGGATTTGGACTCAGGGCTTAGCCCCTTGCTAGGCAGGTACTCTACTGCCTGAGCCATACCTCCATAGCACTCTAGTCATTTTTTAAAACTTAGGTTTTTTTCTATTTTTTCATAATGTTAGACAATATGTTTCTATTATTTCTTGATTTGTTTTAAACAACATTAGTTGACTCCTTATTATAGGAAATTAAAAGTTTCTCATTTATATCATCCCACACTGAGGTTCAGGAAGATTTTTACTAAGGCTATCATGTACTACTCTATTCTCCTCTTTCCAACCAATTAGCAGTTGTGTTACTTTAATTCTTCTACTGATTAACTCTGTAGCTTTAACACATCTAAAATTTCTACACTGTTTCATGAACCCTCCTATAATTTTCTCATTCACTTCTTTTCTCTTTTTTTCTACATCCTTTTGTGATATGAACTTTAACTTCAACATTGCTAAGACTCATTATGTATTTACGCTTTCTGTTTTCTAACTATTGGTTGATTATAAAAGCTGAAAACCAACAAATGGACTTTATATATTGTATTAATAGTTCAGAGGTAAGACTTATATTAGAGATACTTCTTTCTGTTGGACTCAAAGTCACAATCCCAAACCATTAAAAGGAGAACATTCCTAGAGGCCTGATCAAGTGAATTCTCTTAAACTATTTATTAAGATCATGATATATTTTAGTTTGCACTAATTTAACTCTAAGTTGACATAATATTCAAATTAATACCAAGTATATGAGCCTCCAAGGATTTTTGGATAAGACAGATAGGTAAATGTAGCAAACATCTGACAAAAATTATGGTCAGGCTGGCAAAATGGCTCAAGTGGTAGAGCACCTGCTTATCAAGCATGAGGCCTGAGTTCAAACCCCAGTGCTGCCAAAAAAAAAAAAAAAATCTAAATAAAATATTTGTAAAATTGTTTCTTAAGAAACTTGATTTAAAAAAAAAAATCATGGTCAGTTTAATTTTTAAAAAAAACAGGGTACAGGGAAAGCTTAAACAATAGCTCTAATTTGAAGATTCTCTAAAAAAGATTTTCTAATAAATAGCAATACAGATGACTTGGATCACTTAACTCCTCTGATTCAGTCTATGGTGTAGATACACTTTGATAATGAATGAGCTTAATTCTAGATAGACAAATATATAGAAAAGACAGTAAAATCTGGATTCCTTATGAACAGAATACAAATTTCCTTATATTTCTAATACTTTAAAATATTTTAATCAATTACTGCACACAAATTAGTGTCCAATAACTAGTACTGGATTATACACTATTCCTGAAGGCTATAGATATATGTCCCAGTTTGAGTTTTTATTTAAATGAGTTCTTAAAGACCAAAACTTACCTGATGTCCGATTTTCTTCTGACTGTTTCAAACTCAGCTGCTTTTCTCTACTGCTGGTTAAATATTTTCTTGAGGGATCTGTCATAGCTTTGTTGTTCCTATAGTTAATAATTTTAAATCAACACAGCATGAGTATATAAAGATACTAGTCTTAATTCTAAATAGCTGTCATTAAAGAAATTACATTTCAAGTGCTAAATTCATTGATATGCTTAAAAGTTAGGGTACAAGTTAAACCATCAAGAGGTTAGTGAATTAAGTAAGAATTATGAAAATAATCTTGTATTGCCAAGTCAAGAGCCAATCTGATCTATGACTCTAGTAATTAAGCAAAAATATGGACTGGAGGTGTGGCCCAAGAGGTATAGTACCTTCATAGCAAGTCTCAGGCCCTGAGTTCAAACCCCAGTACCACAAAAATAACAATAATAATTAATTAATGAGCATTTTCTTTAGACAAAATTTCAGAGACAGTGAGATTATATAGATTTTTCTTGGCCAAAGCAAGACCAGATGAAATGATTCAGCTAGTAAGACCAAAAGAAATGGCACAAAAACAAAAAGTATAGAGAATATCCTTGAAGAAAATAGATGCAAAAATTCTCAATTAAATACTAATAAATTAAATTCAACAACACATAAAAATATCATATATCATGATCAAGTTGGTTTCATAGGGATGCAAGGGTGGTTCAATACATGAAAATTAATGAAGGCTAAATCACAAATCACATAAACAGAATGAAGGCTAAAAAACAGTATCATTATCTCAATAGATACAGAAAAGATCTTTGCTGAAATTTAATATCCTTTCATGATAAAAGCCCCAAACAAATTAGTGACAGACTCTCAATGTAAAAAAGACAATATATGGCAAAACTGTAACTAACATAAGCATTTCCTCTAAGATCAGGAACAAGACAAGGGGGTCTGCATTCAATGCTCTTATTCAATATAGTACTAAAAATTTTAGCCAGAGTAAATAGGCAGGAGAAATAAAGACACACAAACTGGAAAAGAGGAAGTTAAATTATCCTATTTGCTTATGATATGCTTCTATACATAAAATAATCTGAAGACTCCACCTGAAGATTATTAGAGCTGATGAGTTCAATAAAAGTCAACATACAAAACTTGGTAGATTTTTCTATAATCCAATAATGAATTTTCTGAGAAAGAAATTATTAAAACAATCCCATTCACAAGAGCCTAGGAATAAACTTAGTTAAGGAAGTGAATGACCTCTACAATGAAAATTACAAATTTATGAAGAAACTGAAGACAGTAAAATGTGGGAAGATCTCCCATATTCATGAATTAGAAAAATTAATATAGATAAAAGGTCTATACCATCCAAAGCAATTGTTATGGTTTGAATATGAAGTGTCCCCCCCTCAAAGCTCATGTATTAAAAACTTGGTCGCCAGCTGGTAGCACTATTGCGTGATTGGATTATAAAGGTGTGGACTTCTACAATGGGTTAATTCACTAAAAATTCATACTGAATATGCTCTCAGGAGGTGGGGCTTGGTTGGAGGAAGCAGGTCACGGGGGGCATGTCTCTGAAGGGTATATCTTGTCTTGGACCCTTCCTGTCTCTTCCTCTGCTTTCTGGTGGCCATAAGGTAAGTGTCTTTGCACACCCTTCTGCCTTGATGTCCTACCCTGCCACAGGCCACAACAATGGGACCAGCCAACCATGGACTGAGCCTTTGAAAACATAAGTCAAAATAAATCTTATTCCCTTAAGATATTTTCTCAGGTATTTTGTCATTGCAATTTAAAACTAACACAGCAATCTACAAATTCAGTGCAATCTACTCAAAATACCAATGATTCTTCTTCATAGAAACAGAAAAAAAAAAAATCCTAAAATTCATATGAAAGCACAAAAGATTCAGAATAGCCAAAGCAATCCTAAGGAAAAAGAGCAAAATAGAGGCAGCACTACACCTATTTCAAGACACACTACACAACCATACTAACAAAAATGCCACAATGTTAGCATAAAAATAAGACACACAGACCAATGGAACAGAACAGAAAACGCAGAAATAAACATATATCTACAGAGAACTCATTACTGACAAAGTTTCAAAAACATTCATTACAGAACGGACAGCTCTTTAACAGAAGGCACTAGGAAAACTGAATATCCACATCCAGAAGACTGAAACTTGATCCCCATCTTACACCCTGTACAAAATCAACTCAAAATGGGGCAAAGGTCTAAATAAAAGACCTGAAATTCTAAAACTACTAGAGGAAAACATAGGGAAACACTCCAAGATAATGGTACAGGCAATGAATTTCTTGATAGGATTCCAAAAGCACATAGTGACAAACGGGATCACATCAAACTAAAAAGCTTCTATAGAGTCAGTTCTCTCTCCCAGTCTCTAGTAATCACTCTTCTGCAAAAGACTAATGAGACAACCTATATATATACACATATACATATATATACACATAATGTATACATATATATAAAATATTAAAATAACAATATAGAAACAAAAAGATCCCTTATGCAAAATGCTTGGGATTAGAGTGTTTCAGATTTTTTTTTTTCAGATTTTGGAATATTTCTATACACACACTAACACATATTGGGGATAGGACACAAGTTTAAGCAGAAAATTCACAAATGTTTCACATATACTTTACTTTATATATATAGTCTAGAGGTATTTTTTTAACAATATTTTTAATGCACTTGTGACTGCAACCTGTCATGAGGTCAGATGCAAAAGTTTCCACTTGTGGCATGATGTCGGGACTCAAAGTTTCAGATTTTGAAGTATTTCTAATTTTAGAGTTTTGGATCAGGGATGATCAACCTATATCTTAAGTTAACAAACCATTATGTTTATAGAAAATGCATGGGTCCAGAAACGGGGATAGAAGAAGTGGTTCCATTCACCATTATTTTCAATACATCACTTGGAGAGTTTGTGCTTCCTATCTACCCAATTAAGATGTTGTGGGTCCCGTTTCCCAAATAAGGAACTTTTTACTCAGGAGACACTGTAAGAGAACAATTAAACCTAAAGTTATTGCTTCTACCTAATCACTTGAGCAACAGGCAAAGAAAGGAGCTATACTAGCATAGTAGTAAATGTTTTCATTATTATAAGCAGGAAGGGCTGCTGCTATATAATAAGATCAGGAAGTAATATGTTTGGAGCAAACAGGATTCACGTCTTAGTGCTCTGACACTCAGTGGCAGCATGGCTCTCATGTCACTGTAATGGGCAATTACAGCAACAATGGCTCAGATCCTAATCTTAGTCATGACACAAGACAAACCATCAATACCAGAAATGTTAACAGATACCTTAAAGCAACTGAGGCCAATAGGAAAAGGGGACCAGGAACTAGAGAAAAGGTTAGATCAAAAAGAATTAACCTAGAAGGTAACACCCACGCACAGGAAATCAATGTGAGTCAATGCCCTGTATAGCTATCCTTATCTCAACCAGCAAAACCCCTTGTTCCTTCCTATTATTGCTTATACTCTCTCTACAACAAAATTAGAGATAAGGGCAAAATAGTTTCTGCTGGGTATTGAGGGGGGGAGCGGGAGGGGATGGAGTGGGTGGTAAGGGAGGGGGTGGGGGCAGGGGGGAGAAATGACCCAAGCCTTGTATGCACATATGAATAATAAAAGAAAAATGAAAAAAAAAAAAAGACCAACTTGGGCTATGTAGCAATACTCTGTCTCAAAACAATTAAAGCATTTAAAAAAAATTTGTTTAAAAAAAAAAAAAAAAAGAAATGTTAACAGAAGATACAGCAAACGTAGAATAAACATTAAAAGAGGATGACAGTGTCATTTACAACTGTAGCTCATTCCACTAAGCATTTTGTAAAACTCACCCCCAGAATTTGGGAAGCATCAATGTGAAGAATCAGTGACAAGATGGAATGAGTTTATTATGAGACATGAGGGGAGCTAAAAAGTACAAGAGGGGGCTGAAAAGATTGTAATACCATCTCTCCATCACCCCACTCCTTTTTTCTGTAGTGCAGGGAATCAAACCTAGAGCCTCACACATACTAGGCACACACTCTACCACTGAGATACACATCCAGCCCAAAAGTTTTTTGTTGTGTTTTGGGGTACTTTTGCAGTTGTGGGGATTGAACTTAGTACCTTATGTATGCTAAGCATATCTTCTAGCAAAGCTACATTCCCTATAGTACCAACTCTTGCAGCTGACAATGGTGATGCTCCCTCAGAGGCCTTCAAATCCTTTTTTTTACCATTGGCACACTGCTGGACTGTTTATTTTCACTGTATTTCAAGATGATCACCACCCGCAGTTCTTCAAAGGATCATATCTGATCTATTTAAAAATTTTTCCCACTTGGACAGAGCCAAAAACCCCAGGGCAGCTGATAACTAAAGAGTGTCTAGTACGGAAATATGAATGCCTGAAGTGGGAAATTCTAGAGTCTCCTGCTGGATCAAGAGGAAGTCTACTGTCTGTAGGATTTTTGCCCTGAAATGATCACAACCTTGAGTGGCTTTCTTCTTTTCCCTTTCAACACTGGCAGTAGCAATATGGTTCAGATGTTGGCAGAAGTATCTCTGATGGTCTGGGCTCTCAAAATCATTTCTGAAAATTTAAGAGCCTATCTTTTCAGCTTTCTTTTTTGGTGGTACTGGGGTGTGAACTCAGGGCCTCACTAGGCAGGCACTCTACCAATTTGAGCACTTGGCCAGCCTTTCAGCTTTCTTAACAAAGCCATTTAATAAACATTGTGTGCAAACATCTTTGTGCTTAAATTAGCTAAAGAGAATTTTGTGTCCCACACCTGGACCTCGAAACATAAATTTTTTTTCTAAAAGTTGGATGCTATACTAACAAAGTGGCACTGCCTTAGTAGTAGAATAGGGGGTAAGGGGACATGGATATTACAGACTGGAAAGCTGGTAACTATTGCTATGCCTCAGCAAAATATTTGATAAAAACAACTGTTATCTATAATGTCTTAGAAGGTAGACCTCATGCTCATTGAACTTACAGCTCTAAAGGTAAAAATCAAGACAAGAATGCTTGTCTGTTAGTGCTTCTCATTGGTTCCAACAAGATCCTATTCAGGACAGATAAATTCAGACAAAAGCTTTGCAAAGAGATGAAAAAGAGGACTGGTGAAGTGGCTCAAGTGGTAGCGTGCCTGCCTAGCAAGTGAGGCTCTGAGTTCAAAAGCCAGTACCACATAGGGAGAGAGGGAACACGAGAGAGGGAGAGAGAGAGAGAAAGAAATGAAAACAGATCTCTGTGCCAATGTTCTAGAGTCAAAATGGATAATTTGAGATCATATGAGATCAAAAAATCCAATTGCTTCTGATACTCAAACTGGGGCAATGATTCTTTCCTAAGCCTATAAAAACCTACTTATTTTACCTTTAAAGAAATCTCTGGACTTCTAAAACCTCTGGACACTTCTAAACTTTGAGACCTACACCAGCATGAATCAGGCTACAAAACTATATGGCCTGAAGAAAAACACAGTCCTCAAAATCTATTTAGTTATGCTTCCAAATAATAAAGACAAGGAAAATCTACCAAAAGGCAAAGCCAAGAGTTGAATGGAACAGAACAAGCAAGTTCCTTTCAGAGGACAGAATTCCACCACTAGATGGCCTAATAGGACCTGATTCTACTGTCTTCAATGTTCTTGCAGTTTCTGTCTAGAAAAAATTTATCACTGCTGTAGACTAGATTCCTACAGTTTCCTATTCTTGTCTTCTACAAACAGAAGTTTTCATTGTGGTTAACTGAGCAATGCACAATGACATGTAAATGAAAATGAGAGTGGAAAACGTAGATTAACTTGCCTTTTAGTTTTTAGATATCAGACCATGAGGGGCACAGTCCTAAGCATAGATCAGATTTTATGAAGAAAACTACACATTGCCCAGAGATTCTAGTTTCTGAGTTGGACACAATGTTTACATGAGACTTGGAGTGTGTCTCCATTAGGATGGGATAGGAAATTCTATATATGGAAAGAATGATAAATAGGAGTATTTCGGCCAGAAGGGTAAACTATGGCAGACTATTATACTCTGATACTATAACAGTCGAATTTTGGTGATGCATATTCCCCAGACTTTCTCATAACTTAATGTAATCACATGACTAAGTTCTAGGTAATGTGATGTTCAAAAAAGTGGTGTGTATAATTTCCAATTGAAAGGAAAGCTATATGTCCTCCCTTTGCTCTTTTCCTCCTTTCTATTAATGGAAAAGGAGACATGAAAATAGATACTGAAGCAGTTTATCTAGGTAAAAAACAAAACAAAACAAAAGTTATTTGCTAAGGATGGTAGGTCAACACAAGATACAAGGAATCTGAGTCCATGGTGATTGCACTTTCAAATTCCAGTTCTATCAAACCTACATGTGTTATAGAAGAACCAATTAATATACCAAGTTTCTATGGCTTCCTCCCAACTCTTTCTGGTGATACCTTGACCTCAAATACCAGTTAACTATTGACTGATTAAGAGTTTTCACCGAGGGGAAGGGAAGGGGAGGAGAGACAGAGAGAGACACAGAGAAACAGACAGAGACAGAGAAACAGAAGGAAGGAAAAAAGAATACTCCTAACATTATAAAGAAGTGTGTTATAAGCTGGTATCAGCCCTGCTACAGATCTACTCCCTCTTGTTCAACCCAGAAAGTTCCCTTGAAAGATGACTACTCTTTTTCTAGAACTTATGGAGGGCTCACATACGTTTATCCCCAAGCTAATTATTTATACCAGTAAAGAGCAATTAAGGATAAAGGGAAGAAGGAGGGCTCATATTAAAACAGTAGCATAATAAGAAACACTAGAGTTCTTCAGCTCTATTGTTCATTTAAGTATGGCAGATTTTAAAATGGCAGGATAGGAGTAGTGCAATGAAATGACAAAAGCATTAGCAACAGCCAATTGTCTCTCTATGGAGCCTGTCTACTGTCACCAACATACTTTAATTTCTGTTCTTTGTCTTTGGAATTCCAACAAATTAGACATTCTACCAAACTTCCCTAGTAGTTATAACTCAGAAAACCACTGACCAAGTGCCCTAATGGCTCTTAAAGCAACTTACGATGAAGAATCATTTTCCTTAGGGTAATCTTCATTTAGCTCTGAGCCAGATGATAACATTCTTTTTCTCTTTTCAGAGCTATCAAGAACAGAGAAAAAAGTTTTATTTTTTACAAAGTCATAATTCTTACCATCAAAATTTATAAACTAATATATTCAAGGATAGGAAGTGTGACTATTGTTACCTAATTCTCTACACATTTAAATTAATATACTATAGAACTGCATACTCAGTACAAGTCACTGACATAAATTACCTAAAACAAATACTTGTAAGTATCTAACAAAATATGCTCTATACTTTCTCCTTTTCTTCTCAAATTTCTTTCTTTTTTTTGGTGTGCTGGGGTTTGAACTTAGGGTTTTGCGCTTGCTAGGCAGGTACTGTATCATTTGACTCATGCCTCTAGATCTCTTCTCAAATTTCTAAAAGGCCCAAAAAAGACATTTATAAACAAATATGCCAAATGAGAAAGTAAGTCTTTCCTACCGGTTTTCTAATAATCCTGATCTAAGAGGTGCTGATGTAGGCGACAAAGAAGGAATTGTCCGAGTAACAGCTATTCCACTTCCTGCTGCAGTCTTAATTGATCCTCTACCTGGATTACCAAGAACTTTTCGAAATGGAGTATCATCTTTAGTTTCCAAACTTCCTCTTTTTGAAGAAGCCTGTAAGAACGAAGTTTGACATAGTGAAATCTTTGAATTGCAAATTTAAAGACCTGTGATTCTCATGTGGGGAGCTTATAAAAATATAATTGGAGACTCATTTCTAGTTTAACTGGGCTGTGAGACTCATTTATCAATCTAGATAGACAGACAGACAATTCCTTTCATTTTGCAGTGGTGGGGATCAAACCCAGGGCCTTGCACATTGTAGGTAAGTACTCTGTCACTGAACTATATCCCTAACTCCCTATAAATATATTTCTAAAAGCACTCCAGGAGATTCTAATGTATAGTTAAGTGTAAGAAATATAGCTGGTTTGTTTTCCAGAAACACTGTTAATTTTTTTGATAAGGTCTTGCTGTGTAGCCCAAACTGGCCATCCTCCCACCTCATCCTCCTGAGTGCTGGAATCACACTTGGCTCTCCTATAGTAATTCTTATAAATTTAAGAATTCCAAAGCACACCTGGAGGCAGAAGGTAAGAACCCTACTTTTAATTATTAATTTAAAAAAAGACAGCTCTAGTGGCAACATTAAAGCTGATCTTTGGAATATACACATATATGTATGTGTATATGTTTATGATAAAAGGACGACATGGGTTGAGGTAGCTCAGTGGAAGAGAATATACGTAGCATGCACAAGACCCTGCATTTGAACCCCAACAACACCAAAAAAAAAAAAAAAAAAAAAAGAAGGAACAACAATGACATTTGTACTCAATGAAAACAACTGATATGACTCTTGAAGGAGTTCAAGTTTGGAGAAATAAAACAAATATATGAAACACTGGGGAGAAGGAGGAGAGCAAAAAGTCCACTGATGGAAGATGAATCAAAGAATCTATTCTACTGATGGCAAGATCATTTAGAGAGAGAATGTGTAGTACTGTGAGCATATTGCTTGGGAAATAGTGCTTTAGGTGAACATTCTACTAGTTACGTTTTACATCTCCACATTAAGAGCAATCCAAATACTTTCTTTTTGTTTTTTTTTTTTTGCTTTTTGGTTGGTACTGGGCTTTGAACCTAGGGACTGCTTTGAACTGCTTGTTAGGCAGGCACTCTACTACTTTAGCTATATCTCTAGCCCAATTTTTTTTTATAGAATTATAATGTTAGGACAGGAAATTTAAAAATGGTCAAGGTCACTTGGATGAATGGCTCAAAAAGTTAAATTTACTTTCAATTATGTAACAAATTTTCAAAGTTCAGGGCTAGGGATGCAGCTCAGTGGCACTTGTCTAGACGTAAAAGGTCTGGGTTTGAGCACAAACACCACACACACAAAAAACTCAAGACTCATAAATCAGAGTAAAATTCAAAGATATAGATTGAGAAGCCTATTGCTCTATTTCCATCTACTCAATTCTTCTACTCCCCATCCTCCCACTTCTATGTTCTTTTCTATTTTCTCTATGCAAACACAAGTATTTTATTCTATCTACACATTATTCAATTAAAAAAAATTTTTTTGGTGGGACTAGGGTTTGAACTCAGGGCTTCGCACTTGCAGAGCAAGTACTCTAACACTGGAGCCAACACCTCAGTTCATTTTTCTCTGGTTATTTTGGAGACAGGGGTCTGTCAAACTATTTTCCTGGGACGGCCTCAAACCACGATCCTCCCAATCTCAGCCTCCCAAGTAGCTAGGATTACAGGTTGTGAGTCACCCATGCCCAGCTTCCTTAAAATTTCTTTTTTGATGGTCCAGGGGTTTGAATTCAGGATTTCATCCTTGCTAGGCAGGTACTCTACCACTTGAGCCACTCTGCCAGCTCTTTTTAGTGTTGGGTGTTCAAGGGATAGAGTCTAGAGAACTATTTGCCTGGACTGGCTTTGAATGGTGATCCTCCTGATTTTTGCCTTCTGAGTAGCTAGGATTATAGGCATGAGCCACTTTCAAAATTTTGATCATGACCTCAAAAAACTCTTTTACGTCCAAGTCTAATATACACAATATAAAAATAAGTTTTAGAAATCAGTATTTGTCCTATAAGATCTTCCATTATTTTTTATTTTACTTTTTATTTAATGCTAGTCATAATCTACAAAACCAATTTTATAATCCCACTGAGAATACTTGTAGAAGTATAAATATTTGCATTTACTATACATAGTAACATTTAAGCATTTAAATAATAGAAAACTCTAACAATGTAAATTCTACCTACAAATGTGTGAATCTGAAAATAACTGTGCTGAAAGGTAGACCCTCCTCCTACCATTCCCGCAAAATATGAGTCCACCTACATAAAATTCTAAAAAAATACAATTTATAGTGACAGGAAGTAAATCAGTAGTTGTTTCCAGATAAGGACTAGAGAGAAAAAAGAGGGAAGATTTCAAAGGGGGATGAGGAAACTTTTGGATCATGGCTATCTTCACCATGTTGATTATGGAAATGATTATAAGGATGAATATATGTGAAAACATATTTATACTTTAACTATATATAATTTATAGCATGTCAATTTTAGCTCAATAAAAATGTTTCTTAAAACCTTACCCATAATGGCTGGCAGAGTGGCTCAAGTGGTACAGTCCCTGCCTACCAAGTTCAAGGCCCTGAGTTCAACCTCCAGTACCATAAAACCAAACCAAAACAAAACTCTAACCCATGAAAGAATCTTAAAAAAGGTTAAATCTTATCTATTGTTTAGTCCAATAAGTGGACTATCATCTCTCTGCACAGACCTATAGAACTCATACATTTACCTACAGAAGATCTTTAAAATTTCTGACTTTATGTCTGACTTTCCATAAAATTACCAAGCCTCATAACTGGCTGAATAATATATGAAAGAAAAACTTTCTAACTAGCAAAGAGAAGATCTCAACAAAACAGTATGCTGTAAAGACAAAGTTCATAACAGAACAGATGCAAAGAGCAGCACAGAAACAGTAGCAAACATTTGTTTGTAGTGGTATGGAATACAGTGAACTTGATCACCTTCTTGTGCATTTTGTCTTTGTAATCCTATTACTGTTTCAACTTTATAGACAGACAATGAGGCTCAGGATACTTAAAGAACTTTCCCAATGACCCATATTAGTAAGTGGCAGCACCAAGTCTTAAATCCATATCTAACTCCAAAGCCATGATTTTTAAAACTATACCGTGGTTCACCCTGATGACCTTGAGACATCAAGCAAAGGTTAAGTTATGTTCAATAAAACTACATGTAAGAAGGGAAGAATGTGGTAAGTCCCAGAAAGATTTTCATAAAAATAGTTAAAGAGACAGATGATCAAAATGATAAAGGTCAGTTATGTGGAAAATACCACTGCGACAATGCCATAAATATTAGACATTTCCATCTAAATTCCATTTCCTGCAACTATTTAGTATGTCTATGGCTATCGTTTTCTTTAAAAAGCTCAAAAGATTAAAATGAACATACCTGATTGTCTGAGTAAGACAGCTGCCTATTGGTTTCCTTCTGTGAGGCCCTGCTGCCCAGAATGGCTCCAAAACTACCAGATCCCTGAGAAGGTTTCATGGCTGGTGACCACAAAAAAAACAACAATAACAACAACAAAAAAACCCCATCACTTTTTTAATAAAAAGATTAATCATTATTACTGTAATACAGTATCAAGGAAATGGAAGAAACTGAAGGAGAAAGATAAAACAATCAATTCTTTGTGACAGAATATACCTATAAGATATATAATTATTAAAATTTAAGGCTAAAATCTCAAGCAAAAGAAAAAAAAACCTGGAAGTTTGAGATAAAATTTGCAAGACAAAAAGAAATGCTATAAATTCTGTAATATAATATTGGTCATTACAACTATGGAAAAATCATTCCATTTCTAAGGCATGAATACTGACACTGGATGTCAAAGAAACATCAGAAATGACAGGTATTTTTTCAATAATAGATACTCCAAAGCATTCTCTCCAAGTAAAAGTTAATCAATTGCAATGTATTCATGTATCAAAACAGCACATGCCACCCCATAAATGTGTAAGATTTTTTTCTTTTGGTGGGATTGGAATTTGAACTCAGGGCTTTGTGCTTGCAAAGAAGGTGTTCTACTGCTTGACCACACCTGCAGTCCATTTTGCCTTGGTTATTCTGGAGATGGGGGTCTTTCAAACTATTTGCCCAGGCTGGCCTCGAACCATGATCCTCCTGATCTCAGTCCCACAAGTAGCTAGGATTATAGGCATGAGTCAGTAGTACCCAACAACATTTTTCATGTATTAGTTTTAAAATTAATTTAATTTAAATTTTAAAAGGTTTATCAAGCAGAATATATGGCTTCAATTCCAAAGAAATCCACGCTAGTTTAAAAAACCCATAGGAATTTATGTGTGCTTTTTAAAGCATTTTATATTTTAATTTGGTTTCCTTATTTCCTACTAATGATTATTCGGAATGTTTTAATTTTTCAAAATTGCAAGTAACACTTAACATTCTTTCACACTATCTTGTCTTACTAATGGAATGATTTTGTACAATAAAGTCCTTAAGAATAAGAATTTCTGGGTTAATGGATATAAAATTTTAAGCTAAATTTACATTACTACATTCTTCTAAGTTCTGACCAAATATGAGTTATCTTGCTTCCCCTCACACTGCTGACAACGCGACAGTAACAATTTGAGTTTAATTACTAAAGCTGATGACTTTGTCATGTTTACAGGCTACCTATTGTTCTTCCTAAATTCCCTTATTTGCAGTTTTTGTCCATTTCTTTTTTTAAAAAAGACTGAGCTTTTTCTTACTGATTTGCATAATAGGTCTTCCCTTTGTATAAGAAAGGAAGAATGTGATAAATTTTAGATTTTCATAAAAACAATCAAAGAGACCAAGATGGCCAAAATAATAAATATCATCTTATGGACAACTCTCTCTGTTGTCTCTATGTTTTGAGACATGGTCTTGCTATGTAGCCCAGGCAGATCTCAACTGGTGATCCTCCAGTCTCAGTCTCTAAGTGCTAGGATTATAGGTATGTACCACCATGCCTGGTGTGTGTTCAATTTAATACTATAATTTTTTACAATGCAGAAAATTAAATTAGACAATACCATCTAAATCCCACTTCCTACAACTACTTAGTATGTCTATGACTATCATTTTTTAAAAAGCTAAAAAGCTACATTTTTATAGTCTCATTAATTGATATTAACATATCATTCTGGGGCCAGATGTATAGCTCAGTGATAGACATTTGACTAGCATGTGTGAGGCGTTGGGCTCCATCTCTAGCACCATGAAAAAGAAAAAAAAAAAAAATCAGTGTGACATCACTTTATTTCTATGGCTAATATTTTCCTCCTTGCCACAGAGATTGTCTAAGATTTTTATAGTTTGAGTCTATAGATTCTTGTTTTTATGTAATAGCAAGGTATTTTCTACCCAGAGATTATGATAGAATCCACTACACCCTTTTAATAATACTTTTATCATTTTAAATTTTTGAATCCGAATTTTTGTGGTTTTGACAGTACTAGGGATTGAACTCAGGACCTTACCCCTACAAGGCAAGCACTCTGCCACTTGAGGCACACCTCCTCTCTCTTATCATTTAAATTTTTTACACACAACTCTTTAATCTGAAATCTATCTAGATGAAAGGAGTGAGAAGAGGGTCTAGTTTTACTACCTTAAGTGGTTAGCTAAATGACTTATTTATAGATAACAACTATCAAATGTTAGTCTTTTTCCTCACTGATTTGAATCCCACACTTACATATTAAATACTTTCCATTTGTCAAAGTATTTTATATTCACTATTTAACACTAGTCCCTGCAATGTATATAATATCATATTTGGACACTAAGGCTACTAAACCTAAAGAATTAAGTGACTTGCGTAAATCAGAGTAAGTAGAGTTAAGCCACAGTTGCCACTCTAACAACAGTGACTTCCTAAGTGCCTATCATGTGGCAGATGTGCTTTATGTTTATGAGCACTTACTCTTCACAAAACCCTGAAATTAGCCAGTCATACAGGGGCACGCCTGTAGTCCCAGCTACTCAGGAGGCTGAGGTAGAAGGATCACAAGTTCCAGGCCAGCCTAGACAACTTAGTGAGAGCATGTCTCAAAAATTCAAAAAGGCTGGGGATGCGTACCTCTGTGGCAGAGCACTTGCCTAGCATAAACAAGACCTTGGGTTCAATCCCCATTAACAACAACACACACATAAAAAGCCCTGATATTAAGGTGATATAACCTTCATTTCAGAGATGAGGAAACTGGGAGTGACTTTCCCAAAACCACACAGGAAATAACAAACAGAGCTAGGAAAGGGATGCAAGTCTGTTTAGGCTCCACGTACATGGTTTTCAATTAGGCCATGCTGTTCAAGCATGGTTCCCCAGTCAGTATACCGTGCTTCCTACTGCAACTTGACATTCTTTCATTACACACATCCACATTGACTCTTACTACAATGACTCAACTAATATAATGGATATGGTAGAATAAAACAAAAACAGAAATGTATACACAGTTCCTGACATATTTCTAAGAATTTTAAATAGTACTGTTCTCAATTTTTTGAGACAGAGTTTCGCTGTGTAGCCCAAGCTGGTCTTGAACTCACCATCCTCCTGCCTCAGCCTCCTGAGTGCCGGGATTACAGGCATGTAACACCACTTTACTCTCAATTTTCTTCCTCCCTTCTTTTCCTCTCTCTGTTGTCTCTATGTTTTGAGACATGGTCTTGCTATGTAGCCCAGGCTGATCTCAACTGGCGATCTTCCAGTCTCAGTCTCTAAGTGCTGGGATTATAGGTATGCACCACCACGCCTGGCTTGTTTCAATTTCTTAATACTAAAATTGTTTAGTAAATAGACATAGCTCAGATTTGGGGGCATGAACACATAATTAGTAGATAATAAATAGCAAATAACCACAAAATTCTTTTTACTTTACCAATACATTGACATAAATATAAGCAAAGTAGTACAGCTCCATCTTCTGTGTGTGGGTCTTTTGTTGTTGTTATGTTGGTGCTTTGAACTAAACCGACCGCCTGTGCATGCTAAGCACACGCTCTACTACTAAGTTATACCTCTCGCCTGTTTTTAATATATCTAACTTGAAAAAACTCAGATAAATATATCGACTATAAATTAGTTACGACAAAGCAATGATGACACAACTGGAGACTAACAACAATAGTGGAAAATATACTTTATGCAAAAGATCATTCCTACAAAGATTTGGAATCTTTTCCAAATGACCTGGTCATATTGTGTGACTTTCTAAAGAACTCAAGTTTTCCCAGCAAGTATAAAACTTGGAATAAGTTTCAGATAGACAGGAAAAGTCCTTAAGATCTATTTAACAAGGTAACCTTTCCCAACTATAACTTAAATCCTCCCCCAGCTGTTCTAGTTGTATTTCTTGCAGAATCTTCAGGATTTTCTTCATATCAGATCAAGTCATATGTGAACAGAGATAATTTAACTTCCTTTTCAATTTGGATTTTTTTTTTGAAGTATTGCTCATGTGCTCTGGCAAAGACTTTTAGTGCTACTGAATAGAACTGGCAAGAGCAGAAGCCTTGTCTTAAAGAAAAAGCTTCCAGTTTTTCACTGCTGAGTATGACATTAGTTGTGGGTTTTACACATATGGCCTTTATTACGTTGAAGTAATTTCCCTCTCTACTCGAGTGTTTTTATCATGAAAGCATGTTAAATTTGGTCAAATGCTTTTTCTGTATCAACTGAGATGATCATGTGGCTTTTATCCACATCCTTAATGTAGTGCATTGTACAGACTGACTTTCTTATGCTGAACCGTCTTTACATTCCGAAAAATATTTTTTTCCTTCTTTTTTCCCTTTTCTTCCTTCCTCTCTCCTCTCTTCCTCTTTCTTTCTTTGTTGTAGTACTGGGATTTTGAACTGAGGGCCTCTTCCTTGATAGGCAAGCATGTTATGACTTAAATCATGTCCCCCCCATCCCCGGCCAAAAAAACCTTTTTTGCTGTTAGATTTTCAGGGAGGGTCTTGCTTTTACCTGGGAACAGTCTTGGACCCCCATTCTCCTACCTCCTACTCCTGACTAACTGGAAGTACAGGCAGGTATCACCACCACACCCAGCTTGTTTGTTGAGATGATGATCTTGCTAAATTTTTGCCTGGGTTGACCTGAAACCACAATGTTTCCTATCTTTGCCCCCCAGTATCTGGGATTACAGGCATGCACCACCATGCCTAGTCAAATAAATCCTACTTGGTCATGGATAATAATTCTTTTAATGTACTACTGAATTCAGCTAAACACTTTGTTAAGGATTTCTGCATCATTATTCACCAGTATTTTTCCATGGGTATCATATTCTTTTAAAAACTATATTATTAGTACTCACCTGCATGAAGTCTATTCTGATGGACTGCATCTAAGAATAACCTCATTTCCTCTGCATCCTTACTTGGTACTTTGTCAATAGACAAGAAGCTGTTATCTTGTAGAGTTAACATTAGGCGGCTTTGTTTTGCTCCACTGGGTCGAAGCACCACATTTTTAATGTTATGACTTAGCTGATAAAAGGAAAATTATCTTACTATCAAAAATAAACATACAAGGTATATACCGAATACTAAACTTTATGCTTTCCAAATTACACTTCTCCTTCTTCCTCATAGTAATTCAATTGATTCTCAACCAAAAGGAGTTCCCATTTATTGGTATGTTGAAATCAAAGATTAAACTTTTAGCAAATACCAATATACACTACTAAAACTCATTTTGCAGAGTGATCCCAGATTTCTTCATCCTATGAACAGACAATTCCATATTTTCAGATATAGTTATAAAGGTATATAGAGGATAAAATCTGAGTTAACAATTTTCAGAGCCTGGATGGTTATACTATTACCAGTATAGAACACCAAATTGAGTTAGTCTTTTTTTTTTTTTTTTAACAAAAGCATGTAAGATATTTGGCAAATCATTTAAGTGTAAAAGGATACATTAATCCAAGCTACAATCCTTAAAAGAATTCTGAACTCTCAAAAACACACTAAAAATAAACTTTACTAACACTAAGAATATATCTTTTCTAACCATCCAAGGAGATTCAACTTTCGTTCAATCACAATGGTCATGAACACCCTAGAACTCTCTTAGCTTACTGATTCACTTCCCCAGACCAGGTTTAGTAATTTGTCTTGAAAATTCACTTAGCCTTGGAAAAATGTGTTAATGAAGCAACACCTGTTATTTTCTATTGAATGAAAATTTTCCAAGGCTAAGTGAATAAATCTTGAAGCCTCTTTATTACCTACATAACTTCTACCCATCAGGCAGTCTATTCTCTAATATTCTCCTTGAACAGGCATACACTTCTAAGCTGCCTTTTGCTAGGCATATCCTTTAAGCAGGACAGAGAAAGAATTAGAGAATTGACTTTTGTCAATTTTTAGATAAGAATAAAAAATTTTACCAGATTATATATATATTCAAATTTTAAACATGTATATGTATACATATATATATATTTGTGCATATGTGTGTGTATATACCTATATATATTAAAGTTTCAAAGTAGGCCTTAAATTCATGTCATTGAGTAGAAATTTTCCAGTAAAACAGAAAAATGGATAACAAAAAGGCATTATTTTTCAGTCAACCTACCATTTAAAAAAATTAAAGTTAAATATAAATAGGAAAGTTTGTTCATCATCAAATGAGAATAATCTTGTACTCGGTCACTTCAATAAATGAAAAACCATCTAGCCCCCAAATTTTAGTAACTGACCATATACTAAGGACTCCCAACTCTTTCTCTATTTGAAGTTCAGACCTCTTTGTTGAAGTCCCAGATCTGTTTATCTATGGGATGCCTGACTCCTCAGACAATTCATGTTTCTCAATCCTTACACCCCAATTTTTCCTTCTGTTTCCTACCAAGGAAAGCACGAAAGAGACTGCCACTCATTCAGAAATGGGAATCTTTCCACTTTTTTCTCCCCCAGCTTCTAAATCGAACGTGTTAAGTCTCCTTGACTATCCTTTCCTTCTTGTTTCTTCTAGTACCCTTTCCTAGGACTTTCATTCCTCATCTAATTGTAACACCCTACATTTCTCCTTAATTTCTCATTACCTTGTCTAGATCCTAAAGGATCTGAATTTGAGATTCCTAACTCCTTAGAACCTGAGCTCCCATTACAACAAATAGAAAATATCAAGATCTGGTTCCTATCTAACTCTTCAGCCTCTACTTCTGCCACTCACTCCCCATTATCCTCCCCTCGCCCTAGGTTTTTAAATAGGGTTTCACACTTTTGTCCAGGCTGCCCTCCAATCCTGATCCTCCCCACTCTGACTCCTACATAGTTGGTATTATAGGAGTATACCACCACATCCATCTTGTTTTTTGGGATAGGGTCTTGCTAACTTTTTGCTCAGGCTGGCCTCAAATCTTAATCCTATTTCCACCTCCCAAGTAGCTGGGATTATGGGTATGCATCACCACACCCGGCCCCTGTCCATTAATTAATGTAAATTCACACTTGCATATTTAGATGATTTAACCTCTAAATGCTCAAAGCACAAACCACTTGCTCTTTGGTGTTACCTTAGAATTTCTGAAATAGTTTTACAGGTGAATATGCATTAGGTTACTCTAACTTGGAGGAGAATGGTGTCCATTCAGCTCTGTATTCTTAGCCCTTAGCACAATAACTACAATTTGTAGGTGGTTAACAAATGAATGCTGATCTGAAGCTGGAATTGTTAAGTATAATCATCATGGTCCTAATGATCTGTGTTTTCTTAAATATCTGAATATTCAGATATCTGACACCTTAGCTTAAGACTGAAAAAATGGGTCTCTATTTGAAAATACCTTTAATTGCTGAAATAAGCAATTGGATAAAAATGTATGTGACAAACTACTACTCTTTTTTTGCGGTAGTGGGGCTTGAACTCAGGGCCTACACCTTAAGCCACTCCACTAGCCCTTTCTGTGTTAGGTATTTTCAAGATAGGGTCTCGCTTTGAACCACAACCTTCCTGATCTCTGCTGTCAAACTACTACTCTATTACCTGTCACCACCCCTAACTTATTTAAGAATATATTTGATACACAAAAAAATTAAGCAATTCACACAGTTCAAAAGTAGCAACAAATAGCAATCAATTTTATCTTCATCAGGTTCTCAAGTATAAAGCTATTAAGTTGTTCAATAACTTAACCAAACATTTTAGCTTAGAACAAGTATTATACTTCAGTGTAATATTTTTAAAGTACACAGAAATAGGCTCCTATGAAGGGTTGTTTTTGGTTTTGGTTTGTGTTTTCCAGACACAGTTTCACTCTAGAACCCAGGCTGGCCTCAAATTCATGATCTTCCTCCCTCAGCTTCCCAAACGCTGGGATTACTGGTATGATACATTCTTAAATCCAATTCATATGAAGATGAATTACTCTAGACTGAATAAGAGAAGCTATAAAATACTACTTTAAAGAAAACAAAATTAACGATTTTTGTAGTGATAAATTAGGATTCTTCAGGCTTGGGGTGTCCCAGCATTGCAAAATTAAGAGAAAAAAAAAAAAGGTATCCTTCAAAATTTTACAGATAGAAGAAAACAGCTATAAAGATGACCTTGAACAAGCATCCTTGAAGGTCCATATCATGACTTTTGCCAGGGTTATTAAGTAGCAGACAATGGCTTTCAGAAGACACTAATAAATCCTCTTACTCACAAAAGAGCTTACTAATACCAAATAGTGATGAGTCTATCAACTATGTTAAGGAAAAAAAGGAATAACCAGGACTGTCCTGATGTGTTTTTTTGTTGTTGTTTTTGTTTTACTTTTTTCTGCTGCACTGGGTTTCAACTCACGGCCTCATACTTGTTAGACGATGCTCTCTTACGGTTTGAGCCTCTCTGCCACCCCTTTTTTTGTGATGGGTTTTTTTGAGATAGGGTCTCACAAACTATTTGCCCAGGGCTGGCTTCAAATGACCATCCTCCTGATCTGTGCCTCCTGGGTAGCTAGGATTATAAGTGTGAGCCACCATAGCTTGTTTTTGTTTTTTACAGCATTGCGAATTGAATTCAGGCTTGCACAAGCTAGGCAAGTGCTCTAGCACTGAGCTACGTCTCCACCCCACTCCCCTTTTTTTAAAGTTCAGGATAATCTTGATCTTGCTATGTAGCCTAGGCTAGCCTCAAACTTTTGATCCTCCTGCCCCACCTCTCAAGTGCTGGGATTACGGGTATGTGCTACCACAGCTAGCCTAATGTAGTTTTTAAAATAGCTTAGATATACAGTACCCAAACCCATGTAAGTTCCTTCCCACTAGCTTTCTTTTTTTATAATGGTGACTACTTCCTGCTCTTTATTATACACAGACAACAATGCTGTTGAATAATTTATAAAACAGGTACACAAAAGTTTTAGTGCCCTGGAAATAAGAAGCAAGAAAGGCTATTGTGATGCTTATTTTGGCACAAACAGCTATTTACCAAAGGTTCTGATTTAAGAACCCTCCCAAATCAAAATCTGCTTAATACCTGAAATATCCTTGGAATTCCTCCAGTATTGTAGTGAACTACTAGGCTGACTTTATTGTCTTTTTCCACAATTTCAAAGGATCCTTCTTTCCACTTTGTAATCCCAGTCTGCATACTTCGAATTCTGATAGGCCCATGTATCTTTAGAGGAGACATACCTTCTTTAAAAATAAATTGCTTCTAGCCAAATTAAAAGGCAAAAATATACATTCACCTGACAGGTTCTGAGGAAGAAAAAGAAGATAGCAAGTTACAAGTCACTAGTGATTAAAATAACACTTTTAAAGGAAATGCTTAATGAGCCATCTCCTATCCCTTTCTCCCATTTCAATAAGCCACTTTCATGAAGCATCCTTAAAGGCCCTGAATAGTCATAGAGCACATGTAAGAAAGACAACAAAAGCAGCACTGATATTCAGTGCTTTTAATTTCTTCTATACCTAACCACATTTAATTTCCTTTTTTTGCCATGTGTCCAACACATGTGTTCATTAGTACGTATGTTTTACATTTTGTACCATTCATAAATTGGGTGATATGTTGACATGTCAAATAAGATAAGAAAGATTCCATTCTTAATGTAGTGTCTTCACCATTAAAGTGCTGATTCTTTTCTTCCTTTATGAATGTTAGTAGGTCTTGAATCTCAAATGTAATAAAACAAAGTTTTAGTCATCTGACTCCATTTCTTAGAATGGAGTTTCCCCTGAAATACCAAAGTATTCAATCAATAGTTTAAGCATATCTACGTTTACAGAAGACACAAAGTAAAAAAACTTACTAATAATAAAGTTGGTTCAAACTCCATAATTACATTAGAGAAAATAATCTCTAAAGAAAAAAAACAAAAAACCCTACTTCTCCTAAGAATCATGTAATATTTAACATTACCTTTCCTAAAAGAGAATCTTTAGCAATTGACAAATAACTCAAATTTCCTAAATGAACAATTTTTTTTTTTTTTTGGCAGTACTGGAATTTGAACTTAGGACTTCATGCTTGCTAGGCAAGTGCTCTAGGGCTTGAGCCAGGCATCCAGCCCTCTACATGAATTTTTAATACTTAAAAATACCATAGCCAAATGGAATATACAAGAATGTTCAGCCAGGTGCTTGGTGGCTCACGCCTGTAATCCTAGTTACTCAGAAGGCAGAGATTAGGAGGATAGACGTTCAAAACCAGTACAGGGAAATACTTCAAGAGACCCTATCTCAAAAAAAACCAACACAAACAAGGATGGTGGAGTGGCTCAAGTGGTAGGAGTGCCTGACTAGTAAGTGTGATGCCCTGAGTTCAAACCCCAGTACAACCAAAAAAAAAAAAAGAATCTTCAACTAGCTTTGCCAAAAGTCAGCAAGAAAATAAAATTATAGTGACAGCACAGAATATTACAAAAGTGTGCTATATACATAAAAATGCAATCATCTAATATTGCTAAACCAAATTTTATTTATATTCTTGTTTTTGTGGTTGTTTTGGTGGTACTGGGGGACTGAACTGAGGACCTGCATGCGCACTTCCACTTCAGCTAGGCCCCCAGATCTATTTATATTGTTTTTCAAACGTCTAAAAACACTGCCTCTAAAATGGATTCTTCCTTATAATTAATAAATCACAAATAATTAAATATTGCCTAAATAGCTCAACTAGAAAATCAAGAAAAGGTAATACACAAAGGAAAAGGATGTTAGGTCTAGAAATTAGGAGCCCGGTCTGTCAATTTACTGACTTGTAACTTAACTTTTCTAACTGTTAGTTTTCTAAGCCATAAAATAGGAATATCAAACACTATAATGCTGGGGAATGAAATAACACATATTAGGCACACAACTGTTAGGTTTAATAATATTTATGAAATCAGTGTCCATTTTCTGCAGGTATTCCTTCTCTAAATATTTCCTTTCTCTAACCACCTAAATAAATGTTAACAGAAGTCATTAATAAACTGCCTGTAGGGGCCAGCTAGGTAACAGAAATGCCTTAGGCAGGTAAAATATAAACAACTGCTACCAAAACATAGCTAGTTATCAGCATGTAGAAACAGTGAACCTAGCATTGCCACATCACCTTCTTTATTAAAGGTTTATGTTTAAATTGTGAGCAATGAATTAAAATTTGTTTTGAAAGCTACAAATCAAACAAAACCTACCTGTAGGTAGGATACAGACTGGGGGCCCCTAGTTCAAGGCCTGTAGTTACTGTATAGCAAATAATTGGGAATAAAAGAAGAGATATAAAAACACTTTGAAGAGTATGCATTATACGTTCTCTGTTATTTTTCACTTGTCTCATCCAAGTTTTCTTAATGCTCATTGTGGCCAGATTTAGCTATTAGTAACTTGTTGGATATATGACTTCATCAAAGTAATAAAGTCCATTACTACTTATAGACCTATTAGTATGATATTTTGCTGAAACTAGTAACTACAGAAATTTGAACAAGTAATGTGCATTTGTAATACAATTTTGCAATTATTTGTAGCTTCACTGTTTGTGTATGTCCTTGAGATTTTTTTCCACTTGCCTCTCAGCACTACAAAGAATATGTGGTTCTTCTCTTACCCCAGCTTTCCATGCCAGATGCATGACAGATGTCTTTGACTTCTTACTTTATGATTGTTAGTACTGGATTGGGGATGGAAAAATCAAAGGGTTCGATGAATTCTACCTCCATACACTTTTTCAGACAGTTTATAAAAGAACTTCAGATTAAATCACACCATTCTCCTTAGTATCATTCAATGACTCACCAACATTCTCACAATAAAATCTAAACTCATTAACATGATATAAAGTCCCATGATCCAGGCCCTGCTTGCCCTTCTATTCCCAATAAGCCCTCACCTCAATCCAGCAATCTGAACTACTTATAATTTTCACCAAAAAGCAATACTAAACCTAGCTATTACTCTCTTTAAGAAGTTTTCCTAACTACTCTTCACTTGTTCTCTCCCCCATATCTATAAGTGAGAGTATTTAAATCCTTCTCTACCTTCTCTACCTTCTTCTTGTACTCTACTGACTGACGTCTACTAGCATATTTATCACACAGTATTCTAAACTGTCCTTACCTCTTTGTCTATCTAGACTTTGCTATTTTAAGATAGGGAATATTCTCTTTAATCTTGACATTCCCACTAAGACAGTGTCTGACATACAGGAAATGGAAATTCACTGTTCAAGAACAATGAATAAATTAGCATCATACATTCAACATAAATATCCAATTTGTTGTTAAAATACACAAGATACTGGAATCATGTATCTTTTTTATATGGCCAATACAGAATTTATTTACTAAGCTCTTTGTAAGAGTATTACCATATACTCATTATACATAACTTTTTTTTTTTTTTGGGGGGGGGATACCTGGGGTATGAACTCAGGGCCTATACCTTGAATCACTCCACCAGCCCTTTGTGTAATGGGTTTTTTCCAAGAAAGCATCTTGCAAACTATTTGCCTGGGGCTGGCCTCGAACCACGATCCTCCTGATCTGTGCCTCCTTAGTAGTTAAGATTGTAGGCATGAGCAACCAGTGCCCAGCCACATAACTCATCTTTTGAAGACTACATCTAAGCTTTTTCTATGTGAATCTGGACTGCTCCACTAAATGCAAAGTTGTCCTCAAGTCATGTTGAGAATTTAATAGAAGAAAAACTACTTATGAATAAAAACTAATATGCATTTATAGAGTACATTTTTAAAAATTGGTAAATTTGCCTAAACTGGGATTCATATTATTCATTGCTTAATGAAGAAACTCCATATAGAGTCGTATTCCATGTCAAACTCCCTCATCTTTTCTGATATGTCAAAATAAAAAGGAAGTACAAAAAACCCATTAAGTGTTTACCTTATTAAAATTGTCACAATTAAGCTTTACTTAATTGTCTACTTGAAGTTTTTGAACTTCATTAAAGTATATGATAAATAAATACTATTGGCTACTTCAAATTCTATCTAATGCTCAACGCCTCGAAGACATTTTGGTGCAGAATTTTGGTTATCTGATAAAATTTTACTTTAGATATTGAACATTTTCTTAACCATTTCTACTAGCAACTTTGCTTTCTTCTAAGAAATAAAACTAAAAGATGCAGAACATAAAATAAACAGAACCAATACAATGAAACTTTCTTAATGCTTCAATTTAGTCTATTGCTTGCTTTTACACTAAATGAATTAACAATAACTACTTTTGTACATTCACCACATTATCAGGGCTTGCCCTACTTGGTTAAGAGAAAAAAACTAAGTTTCTTTTTTCAGTATGAAGTATGATCTAGTAACAGTTAAGCTTTTTATGAACCTAAAACAAAGCTTCCTTGAACTCTAATGCTAATTCTTTTTATCAAAGCAGTATTAGGAAGACAAAGGACAATAAAATATGAATTAAGAGTGTCCTTTCCCTAAACTTCACAATTAATATTCTGCCTATCTGAGCACTCCATGAAAACTCAGTACTACTCTAAAAATGTAGCTATATCCAGTTGATTTAAATGTTCACATTTAAGGCACTGCTTTGAAAGCGTCTTTATTCACAGAGTATTTAGTGACAAAGCAAGTGTGCCAAAACATAAAATTATGACTACAAAATACAGAATATATCAATTCTTGTCTACTTATATACTTCTGGAAATTTATATCCAAAATGGAAACATTACTTACTTTTCAGTGACTTTACTGAAAAACCCCATGCAATAACAATTCACCTTTATTCTGCTTCTTGTGCCAAAGGCCATTCATTCTTCTTGGAAAACTACTCATATTCTGCAGCTATGCCAGTTCTCCACAAGCCATCAATTCAGCTAAAGAAAATATAAGTAGGTCTTTTTTTTATAAGAGTTCAAATATAAAATTAAACTTAAAAAAAGGAAAGTGATCATTTATATAATAAAGATTAACCCCTCAGTTGTTTAAAAACCACAATCATTAACTGAAAATATTGAAAATGAGCAACACACACATATCATCATCAACAGAACTTTAGGAATGTGGAATATATCTGCTGTGGAAAATGAGGGACTATAGAAGGATTCTGCAACTTTAGTCAACTTTTCTCTTTGTTTATTCTTGCTACATTTTGAAACTAAGAAGTCAGTGAAAAAGTAGATCCTTTGTTGAGTTTATAAACATTGTTACACGATGACAGTTTAAGTTTTAAAACACAACTCCATGATGTGTTGATACAAATTTCCAAAAGTTGGAAAACTTGTTTTTACTTGTCTTTCCAAACTTTAAAGAAACACAAAAAAACTGTTTCTCAATTTCAAGTCTAAGCCTGAAAGTTCTCTAAAATTTAACACATTTAATATCAACTTTAAACTCATCTGCTCACTTAGTACCAAAAAAAAAAAATCATCTATTGAGTTAATGCTAGTGGGAAGGCTCTGCGGTGAGAGATACAAATGTGAAGATGATAGTCTGTGACTTTATTTGGTTTCCTAGACTTTCCTACTTTTGTCCTTCCATCATTATTCAGGCCAAGAAATCTTACCATGAGCTTTAAGCTCATTCTCTTCTATCCAACACCCAATCTTTTCATAGCTATTTCCCTAATTCAGAAACTCATCACCTCACCATCACCCCACCCAATCTGTATTATGCAGCATTTAATAAGCACAGTGCCAAGTGTTATACATGCATTGTTTCACTAATTTTTAGAATAATGCTAAAGAATACAACTTTCATGTTTATTTCACAGATCAGGAAATTGAGGCTTAAGGAGATTAAGTATATGATGAGACAGTTACATCTAAGGCTAGAACCCTTTTTGTGGTATTGGGATTTGAACTCAGGGCCTGTATTTGAGTCACTCCACCAGCCCTTTTTTTGTAAAGGGTTTTCTTGAGCTAGATCTCTTGAACTATTTGCCTGGGGTGGCTTCGAACTGTGATCCTCTTGATCTCTGCCCCCTGAGTAGCTAGGATTATAGGCAAGAGCCACTGGCACCTGGCCAGAACCCAATTTTTAATCATTATCACAGTTCATTCTCTCATCAATGAACTGTGTCAGTTACTTTTCAGTCCCTATTCTCACAGAATTTTCCTACCAATTAAGTTTTTTTTTTAAACAGTATCCCTTCTAAAGAACTGCTCTTTTTATTTCTTAGAAACCAAAGTATGTACAGCTGTTGTCTCCTTAACTTGCTCCCTATGGGGGGAGGGGCATGATATGCAGTCACAGAACTTGCATACTTTTCTTGTGTACTCCAACAAAATAATACTGAGTATGTGTTAAATACTTGCTATGGATACTACTAATTCCTTCCTAAACATTTTTTACTAGCTCCCCACTATCTAGAAAATAAGCCAAACTGCCTGTGTTTGGCATTCACACACACACACACACAGCAATACTGGGGATTAAACTCAAGGTCTCCCACTTGCTACACAGGTGCTCTACCACTGGAGCCAAAGCCTCACCCCTTTTTTCTTTAGTTATTTTTCTAGATAGGGCCTCAGACCACAATTCTCCTACCTATGTCTCCTCTGTAACTGGGATTACAGACATGAGCCACATATCCAGCTCAATTTCTAAGTTTTAGTCCCTGTATTTCAACATAGCTCCTACAAATTCTATACCCCAAAAATTAGTTTAATATTTCCTTTTTTTATCCAGAAAGAACTTAAATATGGACTTTGGTTTTATCTATTTATAGAAACCTCATCTTTGCCAGTCTCATAGTTTAACCTGTTGCTAAAATATATAAACCACTACTTTGAATTTCAAGGGCTTTCTTTCCTAATAAAAATCCATAAAATGGAGCCAGGCATGGTGGTTCAAGTTTGTAATACTAGCTACTTGGAAGGCAGAGACTGGAAGTATCATTGTTCTAGCCAGCTGGGCAAAAAGTTCATGAGACCCCATCTCAACCAATGAATGGCTAGACCCAGTGGTTCCTGTCACCCACAGCTCTGATAGAAAACACAAATGTCCAGGGTGGTCTGGGCATAAGGCAAAACCTTATCTCAAACATAACCAACTGAAAATGGGCTGACGGTATGGCTCAAGAGGTAGAGAGCCTACCTAGGGAGCATAAGGCCCTGAGTTCAACCTCCAGTACAGCCCACTCCCCACCAAAATCCATGAAACAAACATTACAAAGGAAATAGTCAGTGTTGTAACTGAAAGCAAAGAGAAAAAATTGATTTAGATAGGATTTATCTCCAATTTAAGGAGTCTAAAATCTGAATGATTTTATGTACAAAAATGGGTAAAAGTAACTAAAGCTGGGAAATCCTTTGTTTTCTTTCCCCCTCCCTTTTTTTGTTTGTTTGTTTTTGGTGATGCTAGGGTTTGCACTAACAGCCTGGAGTACGCTAAGTGCTCTGCCACTGAGCCACATCCCCAACAGTTTTCCTTTGATGTGTCCTTTAATTTTTTTTGCAGAATGAAGTGTTTGACATGATAACAAGAATATCAGGAAGCTGGTACTTTCAGAAGACATGATGGTTCTTACAGCAAGTTCCAGTTTAATTCATGTAACCGATTTTTGTGAAATAAAATACACTAGCTTATATCCTAGAAGGAGAGAAACTTCAAATAAACACAAGTATAATTACAAGTCCTGAAAAATTACATAAAGTAAAATACAGGGCGTGATAAGACTATGATTTAAGACCTTAGGGTTAAGTTAGAGAAAATCAAGAGAAGGCTTCTCTGAGAAAGCACCACTTAAGCTGAAATTGAAGAATGAGTTTACTGCGGGGGATGGTGGTGCTGGTTCAACACAGGGAAATAGAATGGTATGTGCAAAGGCCCTGAACTGGAAAACAATTTGTGTGTCTAAGGAAATCAAAAGCAAAGGAGAATGATGCAAGATAAAGCTAGTGAAGCAGGTAAGAATCAGGTTATGCAGAGTTTTGTGAATAACAGTTAGGTCTTTAAATTTTATTGCAAAAGTAATAAGCATCTAGCAAGGGAAATTTATTGAAGAATTTTAAGCAAAGAAATATGTTATTGCTAATGAATGGAGAAGTGGTGTTGTTTGTTTGTTTTGGAAAACAGGATAGAAAGAAACAAGAATGTAAAATAAAGAGTTGGCAGAGTTGCTCAAGTGGTATAGCGCCTGCCTAGTAAGCATGAGGCCCTAGTTCAAACCTTAGCACAATCAAAAAGAAGGAAAAACAACAACAAAATGTTATAAGAAAAAAACAGGATGAACAGACCAGAAAATATTGTTCAACTTATATAACAATTAATGCTTACTGTGTGCCAAGTGTGTACTATGGTTATCTCATTTAATGCTCATAACAGTCCAATAATGTGAGAACCCTTGTCGTTCCCATTTTACAGATGAGAATACTGGGGCACCAAAGAGATCAGGACCAGGTGAAAAGAGCTATGGTTTGAACTAGGAAAGTGATAATGAAAATGTATAGAAAGAGATCCAAGACATACTGGAAAACAAACAGAACTTGGAGAGGGTATGGATACATGGAGAGCAGTAGTCAAGAATGCCTGTGAAGTTTCTAATCTGTATATCAGAATAAATAAATATGTCACACAATGAAATGAAACAGTGGAGAGAAAGGAATTTGGGTATGGAAAGAAAGATCAAGACTTTAGTTTCAGGCTGGGAGAGTGGTGGCTCAAGTGGTAGAGTGCCCGTTTAACAAGCATGAGGCACTGAGTTCAAACCCCAGTACCATAAAAAAAAAAAAATCTTGATTTCAGACATGTTATATTTATATATTAAATTCCTAAGAAAAAAAATCAAGCTGAAACATCAAGAATTCAGTTCACCATTTGAATAGAGCTGAAAATAAAAATTCTTAAATCATCAATATATAGATGGAATTATACCTTAGGGAGGACCGGAAGAGCAAAAGAAGAGAACCCAGAACTGAACCCAGTATTAATTTTACCTTACAAAATATGTCTAAGACAAACTGATTACTTTTATGTCACTAGGATTTTTCAGTCCTTCAATTTTTACCTTTCAGTAGAATGCAACACTACACGTCTCTTTTCAGCTCTTGCAAGATTCATTCCTCTCCCCACTTATTAAATGTCAACAATCTCTTAATGTTCCATTCGAGGTCCCTTTCTTTTCTAGCACTATACTCTCTTCAGCAATTTCGTCCATATCCACGGCTCCAAATATTATCAACTTGGCAGATACACATCTCCCAGAACCTCTTGTAACGTGTAACCCACAATATCCAATTGCCCACTTGACATTCCCTCTTACATTTTTTCCAGTTAAGAGACACCCCCCCCCGTCCCCAAAAGACATGCGTACTGAGCTGAAATTTTTAAAAGGAATACCACAATTCTCCAACACACAGGTCCTTTTCATCAGTCAACATTTCCTTTCACGGATAACTAAAATTGCTAAAGCTGACAACCCGGTGCGATGGCTACAAATGGTAAGCAAGCGGATGGACGACAAAAATAAGTTCATTCTTTTTAGTGAGGGATGGTTAAGAAGAGAAAGAAGGTGCAGAACGGCCAAGAGGGCGAACGAGTACCATGTCCAAGGCCTGATAAATGTTTGGCAACGAAGTCACCTGAAAAGGCAGCAGGCCTTGTTAGGGTGCCAGGTGCAGGGTGCGACGCAGCGAGTGACAGGACAGACCAAGTCAAAGGAGAGGGAAAGTCGAGGGGTACACTCAAGTGGAGTACCTGTGAAGCCCACGGGGCGCCGAGGGTGTGGGGGCGCGCTCAGCAGCAGCGTGGCGAACTCCACAGGAGTGAACGCCGAGTGGGCGGACCGCACCGGGTGGGGGGGGGTAGGGAAAACGGCTTAATTCAGAAGCCACCCCAACTCCTTACCTGTGCCCGAAGGTCCGGAGCCCCGGGACAGGCCTGCAGGAAGAAGAGTTCGTGCGGAGGGGGAGGAGCCCGGAGTAAAGAAGGAAGGGGCACCTGGCCCGAAGGAGCAAGACCGCTCGCTCCCCCAAGACAGGGAGAGCGGCCGATGGCGGGAACTGTGACCACACGCAAACACGTACGCACGCACGCACACGCGACGCGATCAGGCCAGGCGCGTGCGCGCAAGCCTGCAAACCCCGCCCTTCCCACGCCCTCGCTCCGCCCCATCACCAAGCGACGCCTAACCTAGGAAAGCCCCGCCCCGGCCGTGGCCGTAGTACTCATGCGCACTTTCCACTTCACCCTATTTCGACCTCCCACCATTTCCCTCCTACTCGGCCCAGTCGGGCATGCGCAATTCCACTTCTCCAGAGACAGTTGGGTTTTCCCGCCCTTCCGTAGCCTTTGGAGGAAGGTCAGGGTTTCATGCTCCTCTGGAGATATCTGCTCGATGTCAGAGGAATGCGGAGACCAGTAAGTCGCCGATGTCCTTCTGGTCCTGAATCTTAAGACGCAAGGAACACACACTGGGGCTTTTAACTAGAGGCTGAGGGTCAGGAGGCGGGAAGAGGTTGTGTGGGCGGGGTCAAGGGTGAGAGGTCAGAGGACTGCGAAAGGGGCGGAGCGAGCCGGAGGCGGATGGCTGCTCTTCATCTTCGGCTGTTGAAGCTCTGAAGCTGGGACGCGGCCCCGGCGCGTCCGGCGGAGGAAGGAGAGCGGCGGCCGCTCCCATCATGCACAGCCTGGCTACCGCAGCGGTGAGTGACTGGGCCCAGATCCCTTGTCGGCCCTGCGTTTCGGCCCGGTCTCCTGGGTCTCCGTGGCGGGCCCTGAGTCCAGCAGCTTCTGCCCCCAGCTCGCGCGGCCCCGGCCCTGTCCACGCCGCGTCCTGGCCGTGGCGGAGCCCGCCGGCCGCTTCTCGAGCCGTCGGGGGCGGCAGCTTGCGTTCTTTTTAGCGCCTGGGCCTGGTGCAGCGCCCGCGCGGCGCCGGCACGCCATTCATTGATTCATTGCGCCGAGCCACAGTTTTGGGGCGCCAGTCGTGTGCTGGGCCCCGGCAGGGATGAGGGGAACATGGTCCGTCTGGCGAGGCCCGTGCTCTCGGAACTCCCGGCCTACACATCGCCGCGAGAAAGAAATGGCTTCTAGCTCAGGCCACTTGCTTTGCCCATGGAAAGCCCGAGCCTCTGAGAAGTGCGTAATTGTCGCATCTGACCTAAGGTTCGCTGGGATTAAAACCTTTTTCGCACACCACCTTGCCCAAAGTAATCCTGTGCCTCTCTGTAGAATTTAGGTAAGTCAAGATAAGTCAAGACTCTTTGCCGTGGCCTATAGGGCCCTGCAGAATGTGGTCCTAACTCATCTTTACTGCCTCGGTTTTTGTCACTTGCTCCTTATGCTCCAACCAAAAGTACACGCACTTTCCGCTCCGAGCGCACTCTCTGGCCTTACTGCATGGAATGGCCTTCTTCCCTCTCCCCACCTAAACACACAGCGTGTGATTGTGACTGGTCCTCGTCCCTCTGGTTGCCACCTAAATCTGCCTCATAGTCCCTTTCCTGACCATCCTATTCAATGTGGCTTGTAACCCCTAACTTTTCTCTCTTAAAGCACCGTGTACAACTCTGATCCCCCTGTGTAATTACTGGATTCCTTGTTGGTTGGTTGTCTCCCCATTAGGGGAAGGGACAGGGATCTTGAGGGTCCTGTTTATGTGTTTACCCAGTGCCAGGACAGTTTTTGGTACGAGGTAAGAACTTGTGCTTTTTTGACTGAAAGACTACAGGTGAAGGAAGTGACTACTTCCTGTGGCTCATATAGCCATAATGGGAAAAAAAGGATTATTTGATTTGAGCACACTTCTCTGAAGGCCAGTTCCATTTTTTGATTCTCAAGGGGAAATGATTTAAGAACAGTAATATACTGAAATTACATTGTCAGGCAAAATGACATAATTACTAAGTACGGCACGAAAAATTGCTTTAACTTAATAAAAAGTGAAAAAATCCAACTGAGTGTGACTAAGCTACAGAAAACATTGTTTCTTGAAATTTGTTCTCTGGTGTCTTGTCATTTCTAGAACCAGTAGTAGTCTGCCTCCTGTCACCATGTTTCTAAGTGTGTGTAACTATTCAAGATGGAGAGGTGTCTTTTATACAACTTAAGTAGGTGATTGTAATTTCCCTAGCTCTTCTGTTACTTCTTTCAAATTATACTTGCAATTTAAGAAACAAGTTAGGTGGTGTGGTTGCTGCAGGTGGGGGAGATGCAGACTAGGCAAGGAAAATTCTTCCACGGTTGGCTTCTTGATCTCAAAATTGATCATGTCCTCTCAGGATTCGTGGTTTTAATACCAAGCCACTCTTCCCTGTACCTCCCCAGACTCTATACCTGTTCAATTCATTTTCTGTTGCTCTTTATTGCATCTTTTGACTAGCCATTAAAATTGTGGTATGTTACTTATAATACATTCTCACTACTCATTTTTTCAGTTAAATTTATAGTGCCTTACAGAATTAAAAAATCTGGACTTCTGATGCACTTTCACTTGTTATGCTGTTTGGACCACACAGAAGGTCTGTACAAGTTCCTTTGTACCACTCACTGAGTAGGATATTTTATTTGTGATGAGACTGAAACAAAAGTTGAGCCACCTCTTCATTTCCTCATGCTTATATTATTCCTATCTGGGTCAAAGGACAGTAATGATACTATCATTCCCCAGAAATTGAAGAGAGTTAATACTTGCAACAGTGCTCACAACTTAAACTTCTTCACAAGATGCTTACTTTTTGCCTAATAATGAAAACTTGTATATGTCCCTTTATTTCTTTTTATGCAAGTTTTCCCTTCAACTAGGGAGATAAAAAGTACAATTAAAGGATAATGTTATCACATGTGAATGCAGAATATTACTCACTACAGGGGGAACAACACAGAGATAATTGAAATAATTGGTGAAGTATCTTAAATTTTGATTGGAGTAGTATTTTGTAAGAATAACAAAGTGCTTGGTGTCGGCTAAATTTACTCACTAAGTTAAATGACTAATTTATGCGTCAATACAGTAACGAATTACTTTGTTACAGGCTTGGAGGTTGCTTCAGATTAACAGAGGCATGTCATACATAGGTCTTCTGTAATGGACATTATTTTAGTGAAGCTCCCAAATGTTAACCTGTAGAGATGCATTAGATATACACTTAAAAAATTTTTAATGATTTCCACTGACAATTACAGATCTTTGAACTTTTTTTTTTCTCTCAGTGTCTACCCAGCCAGTAACATCACTATTCATTTGCTCAAGCTGTGATGGACTTTCAGTTGCTCTCCTCTTGGACAAGTAGAATTCTATGCACTCTAATTGATCTAATTCATTATCATCTCCCAAGTCTTCCATTGAAGCTTTAGGCAGATTGGCCTAACTTCTCTTTGTTTACTTTCATTTTTGAAGAATTATTTTGATGGGGTAAGGGGAAAATAATGGAGGGGATTAACCAAACTCGGTTGTAATATATGTGCATGTGGAAATGTCACAATGAAACCTTCCTATACCTATCATATACTCATAAAAATGTCTAAAAATTAATTTAGAAAAAAATAGCTCTTAATACAAACAATTTTTTCTTAGACTATCATCATGTTGGTACTCAAAGCCACATATTGAGTTACCTCCACACTTGAGAAAATAATCTTTTTTAAAATCTAATCTCATTTTTTATTCATATCAGGAAAACAGCTATTTTGGCCCTTAAATATAAAGTCATATTGATAACTTGTCTATTTTCTGTTTAAGAAACCCATCAACATCAGTTTTGTTTTGTTGTAATTTATGCAAAGGGAACTGGATAACTTTCCAGTTTATGTTTTTGTGCTTGCTAGACAAGTGCTCTACCACTTGAGCCATGCCCCCAGCTCTAATTTTCCAACTTATATTGGTGTGTTTTGTTTAAAGTAACTTCTAAATATCTTTTTACTTTTTAAAATAAAATTTTTGGTGGGACTGGGGTTTGAACTCAGCCTCACACTTGCTAGTTGGGCACTCTCCTCCTTGAGCCAAGCCACCAACCCTTCTTTCTACTTTTCACATTAACTGTTAAGGTCTTTTAGAGATAGAGAACCAATTGTCCAGTGCCTTGTATTTATGACATTTGGAATTAGCCATTGATGACTCACTTAGATAAATGTTTTGCTTGAGGTAAACTCTTGTTGAAAGAAGCGAAGTGTTACTTGAAATATATTTTCTACGTACAATACATTGAACAGAAAAGGAAGAGCAGTTTTCTGCAAAGTTTTGATAATGTAAATATTTTAATACATCTGTTAAAAGGAAATGGCTATTGACTTTAGCAGGTGATAATAACGTACAGTAAAAAACAGCAGAGCTCTTTACTAATCTTTGGGTACGTGTTGAAGATGAAAACTAATCTAGATTAAACTTCTTATAAGTGATTTTATGTCTGGGTATGTGATTAAACTCTGTTCATCCAAATCCAACTGTTAATGAACTATGTTATAACAGAATAGAAAGTTCTGTTATATTTGTAAGAAATAATTTCTTCACCTTGGAGGAATTTTTTTTTTATTTTATTACTCATATGTGCATACAAGGCTTGGGTCATTTCTCCCCCCTGCCCCCACCCCCTCCCTTACCACCCACTCTGTCCCCTCCCTCTCCCCCCACCCCCTATCCCCTCAATACCCAGCAGAAACTATTTTGCCCTTATTTCTAATTTTGTTGTAGAGAGAGTATAAGCAATAATTGGAAGGAACAAGGGTTTTTGCTGGTTGAGATAAGGATAGCTATACAGGGAGTTGACTCACATTGATTTCCTGTGTGTGTGTGTTACCTTCTAGGTTAATTCTTTTTGATCTCACCTTTTCTCTAGTTCCTGGTCCCCTTTTCCTATTGGCCTCAGTTGCTTTTAAGGTATCTGCTTTAGTTTCTCTGCATTCAGGGCAACAAATGCTAGCTAATTTTTTAGGGGTCTTACCTATCCTCACCCCTCCCTTGTGTGCTCTCGCTTTTATCATGTGCTCAAAGTCCAACCCCATTGTTGTGTTTGCCCTTGATCTAATGTCCACATATGAGGGAGAACATACGATTTTTGGTCTTTTGGGCCAGGCTAACCTCACTCAGAATGATGTTCTCCAATTCCATCCATTTACCCAGCGAATGATAAGATTTCATTCTTCTTCATGGCTGAGTAAAATTCCATTGTGTATAAATACCACATTTTGTTGATCCATTCGTCAGTAGTGGGGCATCTTGGCTGTTTCCATAACTTGGCTATTGTGAATAGTGCTGCAATAAACATGGGTGTGCAGGTGCCTCTGGAGTAACCTGTGTCACAGTCTTTTGGGTATATCCCCAAGAGTGGTATTGCTGGATCAAATGGTAGATCAATGTGTAGCTTTTTAAGTAGTTGGAGGAATATTTGTGATTACAATCTTACAGACCAGATGTAGACACTGATTCTAGAAAGTAGACTTAGCGTACACATTAAACCTCTGTTAAGCTGTGCACCCTGTGGCTCATGCCTGTAATCCTAGCTACTCAGGAGGGATGTAGAAATCAATAGGATTGCAGTTTGAAGCCAGCCATCGGCAAATAGTTCTCGAGATCCTATGTCAGAAAAAAAAAAAAAAAAATCACAAAAAAGGGCTGGCGGAACTGCTCAAGAGGTAAAAGCACCTACCTAGCAAGTATAAGGAAGGCCCTGAGTTCAAACCCCAGTGCCACAAAAAAAAAAAAAAA